AAAGGAAGTAAAATGCGTGCCTTGTACTGACACAGTACAACAGCTGTGTGTCCCACCTGCATAATGACGATCCAGTCAGAGTCAGAGGAGCTGGCATACTCATGAGCGAAGTTCCCCAAAAGGAAGCGAACAGTACCCCAGATCCGAATCGTGATGAAGACGAGAGGAACAAAGGTCAGTTTCGTGTTGGCCTCTTCGATGTCACGACTTCGTCTTCGCAGATTGAGACTTGCCCTTCGTTTCTTCTCCTGTGGCAATAAAAGTTTCATGCATCCTATTATGTTTTTTCTCTCAACTCGTTTCCTTTCAAAATGTTATCTTATAGCGTGATACAACCGAAGTCCTTTCTGTGTTGCAAGTGTTGCTATAAACGCCCATGCTGAAGATATTCTTTAAAGGGTGTGATCGTAGACATTTGGAGGTACGGAGATGGGATTGCAGGAACGTGTGAAGAAAGGAGGAAAGGGTGGGGAGGGGGGGGGCAATGATCGCCGGAAAGCATAATATTTGCTAGAAAGGAGAAGGCGAAAGTGAAATCATGTTGCACCCTAATCTTTTGAATTTGAATTTGGAATTTCAATGAACTTTTTTTTTTCAATGTGAAGTTCAACAATGAGCATCCATTCCACCATGAACATCTTTTTCCAGTTTGAAATTCAACATGGCAATCCTTTTTCAGTTTGAAATTCAACAATGAACAACTTTTTCCAGTTTGGAATTCAATATGAACATCTTTTTAAAGTTTGAAATTCAACAACAAACACGTTCTTTCCCATTTGAAGCTCAACAATGCGCATTTATTTTTTTTAAACTTGGGAACACGTAGGCAGTGCTGCATCCTGACCTTTTTCAAGAGCAATATTTTGACTGCAGCGTACAGCCCCGCCGTGATGACGCAGGCAACGATCTCCCAGGCTTTGCCGGTGACCAGCATCCACAACAGCGCATGCGCAGCTGCTGGGTCTATCCAACACCAACTGGCATGCTCCAGGTGATGATCGAAGCCCAGAACATCCTCCACCAGGGCTAGTAGAGCTATCAGGACTGGACACGATGACATTAAGAAGAATGTTAGCAATAAACAAAAATTAAAAGATGAAATAAGATACGATAAAATAAAAGTAAGATAAAATAAAAATACATTTTTATTGATCCTCGAGGAAAATTTTGTTTTACAGTGGTGTAGCCATATACATAAATACAGACACATATCTTCAGAATATTCTATCAACACTACATAATGAACAAGATTCTGTTTGATGGTATTGAAAAGATCGATGTAACTTGACTGCAGTGCTCATTAATACAGCCTTTAGAGGAGGGTGATGTGACTCAGCGTGATTTTCTTAAACAACCGCCCGGTTTAAAGCAACAAGATAGCAACACGCTTGGCTTATTTGATGCTACAGCTAATGTCAGTTAAAACATCGGCTGTTATCCGTGTGTAGACAGACATGCACTTAATCCTTTGAACAAACACTCCGTTTGTAAAATTTGAAGAAATTAAGTATCCTGTCTTCCCCACGCCTACTCCTCTCTCTCTCTCTCTCTCTCTCTCTCTCTCTCTCTCTCTCTCTCTCTCTCTCTCTCTCTCTCTCTCTCTCTCTCTCTCTCTCTCTCTCTCTCTCTCTCTCTCTCTCTCTATCTATCTATCTATCTATCTATCTATCTATCTATCTATCTATCTATCTATCTATCTATCTATTTATCTATCTATCTGTCTGTCTATCTATCTATCTATCTATCTATCTATCTATCTATCTATCTATCTATCTATCTATCTATCTATCTATCTATCTATCTATCTATCTATCTATGATGGGATATTGCTTCATCTCATCAAAAGGGTTAGCTTTTGCTAGTATTCTTTTCATCGACTCTCGAAATCTCATAGTAACTGTAACCACATCGTATCTCCGACTTGTGGTCAACATCAGAACTACACCGAAAGTTTGAACCATCCTTTACCAAACTGCACGAAGACGGAGATCAAAACATTGCCCCGAGATCATACTTAAACTAAGGGCAGTTTTCTCAAGTACATGTAGTTTGTCTGTCGTAGTTTTAGTTCTTTTTGTTTTGTTGGGGGGGGTTTTTTCAATGAATGCAAAAAGCACATCCTCATCCACAAGTAAATTACTCTATAATTAGCACAAAAGGAAAAATAAATTATCAAGTGTCAGCTACCCCGGCTCATAAGTTCAACATAAGTTAAGGACCACCTTGACAGACAGCCCTGTACTTGCGTTCGTCTTTTCCATCCGGAAGTATCTACAGGGATCTATCTAGACTTGCGGGAATGCGAAGTTCGTATCTTGAAAACAAACAAACAAAGAACAACAACAACAACAACAACAACAACAATCGAAAGGTGTTGTGGATAATAGACAGATAACCTCATCAGAAATACTTCAGTGAACATGTTCACTTACAAGGCAGGCCCCAGCAGGTAGCTGTGAGCAACTTGGTGCACAGTCCCTGTCTGCTGCTCGCAGGCTGTACCCTCAGCACGGTCCAGAAGATGGCCCAGGCGATGACCACTGTCCACATGAAGGAGGCGATGCTGGACATAATGGTCAACGCACTATGGAACTTGCAGTAGGACATATTGTAGGATACGTGGTCTACTCTCAAGTACCTAGAAAAAAGATAAGAGCGAATAATGAAATGAAATATAGGGACTATGTTTAACTCCCTTATCAATACTAGTATTTAAGAGACTGGTCCTCCGAGTTGAACTCCCATCTCGAAAAGGACGAAGCCAAAAAAAATGTGTATAAAATGCTTTTCCCAAGGACATAACGTCGCTCCTGAACTCCTTCTGTACAACGCTATATCAGTACGTAGTCGTATGTAAAGAAAAGCAGTATCATGTCTCCAAGTAGCACGGAAAGGGATAAACCTAAAACAAATTGGGTAAATTGTTCTGACTCAGGGCAAAAAATTAAAATCAATAACATTTCAGTTATTTGAAATGATAGGCCTAATTAAAAATATAGAGTTTACGTTATACGACGCATATCCCCACAAAACAGTAAGTTCTATGTGCATTACAATCTATATCATTACCCCAGCAGATCCAAAAACACTCAGAAGCATTCTTGGCTTTCAGGGAAGTATACACTGCAAGTAGCCGAAGTTCAAGCATGAACAAAACAACAAGACAAGACATTTCGCTGTCTATAGAGGTACCTATTCCCACCTGAGAGGTACCTATTCCCACCTGAGTGAAGAGAGAAAAATTCGTGTAAAGTGCCTTTTCCAAGGACACAAAGTCCGCCCTCTGTCTCAGATGGGGTTCAAACTCACAACATTTCGGTTGCAAGCCTAACAGACTAACCACTAGAACACCAACGCCAGGTGGTAAAAATGTTCAGTAATAGATCAATATGAGAGGGGCTCTCATGGCCTAGAGGTTAAGGTGTTCGCCTCTCATTCAAAGGTCTCGGGTTTGAATCTGGATAGTGACGGACTTTTTTTTCTGTAAATTGTCTCCTTTCCCCTCCTTTCCTGCTCTCTAGCAATATTTTGAGGTCTGCTTTCGTCTGCTCTTTCTGCCCCAACGCCCTCACCCCCTTTGCCCGTCCTGTGTGCTCCTGACTCTTAAGGCAGCCTTTCTACTGCTACTCCTTGGCTCCTTCTTACTGCTGTCTTTCAGCCACACCTCTGATCTTCTGGTAGGAAAGATCTGCACCTAGCCTTCTCGGACAAGGGTGAGTAGGTCCCGTGTTCAAGTTACTACGTTAAAGATCCCTTGGTGGTCTAAAATCGATAAGAGTAGGCTTCGGCCGCCACCCGGTCAAAATTCTAAATTTCCTATCAACTAAATATGTTTAGTATGTCCCGCGTGCTCATATGACTGTATGCAGTTATAGTTGCGAGCGCCGTAAAACACTTACTCCAAAAAAAAGTAATACAAATGATAGATGTTACTTTTTGTCTGTTTCTTTGTTTTTAGCCTTGATTTTTTTTAAAACCAATTTCGTTGGGAATATGGTATGAAGATTGTGGGACTTTTCTTTTACAACCAAGCACGTTAGAAACGTCTCTGTCTCAAGCATGCATGTAGTACGTTAGTTGCAAAATTGAGTCGATAGTGCAGTAAAACACCTACTCAATCAATCAATCAATACGTTAGTTGGTTTGGTGACTAAAGGCCTGTGTTATCACTCCATTCACGGAGTAAAACCAAACCGTTAAGAGAGCCGATCTGTAAAATGGGTAGATTGGTGCAACTGTGCTAGTTGGTTGGAAAATCAGGGACTTGTTTTTTTCTTTGAGTTTTGAACCCTCTTTTTGTAACAGCATGTGGCCTAAAATTTGTTCCCTCTTTACTTTCGGAAGTTATGATCTATCGTTAAAATAGTACACGAAAATTTATGTCGTTTGATTTAGTCTTTTATAATGCACTTTAGTGACACTGACAAGCGAGAACAGAAAGGAAAATCTAACTAGAAAACTATCCAAACAAAAGAAGAAAAAGCGCGTTTTCTTAAATTAGAAAGTTAGTTAGTTAGTTAGTTAGTTAGTTAGTTAGTTAGTTAGTTAGTTAGTTAGTTAGTTAGTTAAATAGTCAGTCAGTTCATTGATTCGTTCATTAGTCAGTTAGTTCGTTCTTTTGTTCGTTGGTCACTTAGTTCTTAGTTCGTTCGTTCTTTCGTTCGTTCGTTCTTTCGTTCGTTCGTTCGTTAGTTCATTAGTTAGTTAGTTAGTTAGTTAGTTAGTTAGTTAGTTAGTTAGTTAGTTAGTTAGTTAGTTAGTTAGTTAGTTAGTTAGTTAGTTAAAGACTTACCAGATAATGCCGAGCAGGTTTCCCGCTGCAGTGAGGAGATCAGCCACAGTGAGGTGCATCAACATCCACCGACCCACGCCGCGGAGATCTCTATAGATCCAGTGAACCCAGAGCACCACAAGGCCGCCCAAGATGGACATGGCTGATGTCACGAAGGTCACGGTCACATAGGCCACGTCCAAAGACGACATGTCTTTCCGCACAGAAGGTACGGCGCTCGTTGAGTTGAGCATATTTATGTTAAAGGATCGTCAGTAAAAACATAATTTCTCCGCCTTCTTAAAGTACAGGTCGATAGGCGGACTTCTATTTTAAAGTTGGACGTCAGTGACGTGACATGGGTAAATGTTTGACAAAGTTTTTTGCTGCGTGAAGTCTATTTATCTATCGGGTCCAGGTTCTTGCTGATAATGCTTAGATTTTTTACAAAGTTAACGCAACGGAAATAGTTTATAAAGACAGGAGAAACTCGATGAGAATTCAACACACCATTTTACACAGCCACGGAGGGTCTGAGTCAAGAGCACAGTACAATAAGAACAAAATTTAGAGTATCTTGTGAGCATAAGGAACATATTGCGTAGAAGCCTATTAATATCATAAAGCAACTTTGACCATGTCAGTGTTACAATTCACCAAAGAAAAAGCAAGTCTTTTTCCGATTTCATAACGTTCCGATAACGAAAATTTTAAGTCATTTTCAAGATTACCACCCACACGTGACTTTTTACTAAAATTTGATCTAATTCTTCAAGTCGAAGAGGATTCAGTTCACAGAGATGTTGGTCACACGATATTTGGATTTCTTCGTCTTTTGGAGTCTAGGAGGGGGGGGGGGGGGGCGCTGCTCAGTTGACTTCTTTGGGTAACAGCGGTGGCAATTTTTGTACCTTCTTTTGTGTTTGTGTTTTTGTTGCTGTGTAAGTTTTTTCTGGGTTCTTTTTTATTTGGTTGTTTATTTAATGTGTGTGTTTTTTTTTTTGTTTTTTTTTTTCAAATTCTTAACAGATACGGATAGTGGAGACAGGGATCTACTTTATCTTAATTTAATGATTTTTTAAATTTCAATCTCGAGAAATCACAAGCGCTTTGACTGAATCCTTTCAGATAAAGTTGTACGTTCTGTCACAGTCTAGTAAACACTGCAGCGCTTCTCCGAATAAATACCAACCCTTTTTTTAACATGTATCTCAAATGACCAGAAGCATTCCTGATAGGCCTATTCTTTTTTTTTAATAAACTCCAGCAGAGCTTTTCCGCCTGAGTTATCAATGTCATTCCGTGTAATTCTCTAAAGCTAAAATATCAGACTGAATGAAGAATACGCGGCTCGTTTTCGGTCTCGTGGGAGTTTCCACTGGCGAGCGCCAAGAGAGGCGGCTGATTGGTCTGTGTAGAACCACACCCACCTCTCTCTTGTTTTTCAGTGGCACAAGTAGTTATCAAGGTCGCGAGAGCTTGGGGGTTTCATCCTGTCGCTGCAATGCTCATTCAGATATTGGCAATTTTTCTTTGATTGTTCACAACGCTCGCGAATCAGCAGTTGTAAGCAGTAGATTCCATTGTTCAAGTCCTAAGTGGCCTGACTATAATATAAAACATCAGATCCTCTGAATTAATTTTTTTTTCAAACCACACTTGGGGTACCAAGCATCTACCGCATCCTTTGAAGTAATAATTAGCAACACAAAATTACCCAAAAAGAAAACTGATACAAAGCCTTTGATCTCTCCAAGGAGAAGAGGATATGCTATAATTGTTCAGGGTTTTTTTCCTCTCCATCTCTCCTCTTGTTCGTATAGTTCTCAGGACCGACGACATTAAATTCTCTTCCCAATAGCGAAGAGTTCAAAATGGCAGGACAAAGCTATTTTCGAGAAATTGATTTATTTTGCTCAGTTTTAAGACCGTGCACATAATAGTCTCTAGGGGGAAAAGCTTGTATAGAAAGATCACATACCGTGATTGGCTGACTGTGGGAGTAAAATTATCATTTGGCCTTTTCCAAAAGCTCATTGGCTTACATGAAAACAACTCTTACTACAAATAACAGAATGGGCCTATTGTACAGAGTTATGGAACACAGCATGGTGGATGCCAGTCAATTTAACGACTGAAAGTCCCGCCTGATTGACCATAGTCTATCTGTGCTGTGTCAAATGAACAAAAGGCGGCAGTAAGGACCCAAATACTATCCTTAATCCTAACCCTTACCCTAACCCTAATGTTAACCCCAATCCTAACCCTCGCCCTAATCTGACACTAACCCTAATCCTCGCCTTAACCTAACCCTAACCCTAACCCACGTCCTAACCTAACCCTAACCTAACCCTAACTCTAATCTAACCTTAACCCCATACCCCTCTACCTTCCCCCAATCCTAACCCTAACATTAAACCCTAACCCCAACCCTTGCCCTAGCCCTAAACTAACTCTCACCCTCACCCTACCCCTACTCCCAATCCTACCTCAATCCTACCCCTGCTATAGTGCGGTCAAAACTTCATGGCGCAACTTATTGTCAAATATTTCATAAAATATCGAACCTAGACTTTCCAGCTTTTACACAAAGACTTGTATCAAATTGTCTTAACAGATAGGTATTTTTGTCAACACCTGCTGGCCGTATTCTTAAAAAATCGCTTAATAAATAATATTAATACTATTTTTAAAAAAAAAGTAAAGTGGATGGTTTCTACCGTTTTTTAAAAAAGGATTACAGTTACAGCTGGGGCGATATCGCTTTTAAAAGCTAGTCCGTCATTTTTTTTTCTTATCGCGACATTATGCTTATTGAACTATAAAAAAAATAATTATTGTATCAATTTTTGCCACCAGAAAGTGTCATTGATGAGCTTTGACGTAGGCCATATGCGTATATAAAAAATGTGTGTGAGAAGCGGGAAGTGCTGTGAACAATCCCATTTTCCGTGTGACGGATATTTATAGTATTTTCTATAAAATTAAGAAGAATGTTTTTTTAAAATCTAGCCTCAATTGTTGTGGAAAAATATGATTAAGTTAAGACAAATTGATATAAACTGCTGTGAAAGTATGGGAGGCATTAGTTCACCTGTTAAAGAGATATTTGAGGATAAGTTGCGCCATTAATTTTTGACCACACTATAGTTGGCTAGCAGACCGCCAAGTGGAACTATTTTTAGACTGGTCCGGAGATAGACTGTCGATGAGAACAGAAACATCGCGGTAAACCGTCAAGCCGACCGACACCGAGTCGTGTCTGTAGACAACGTTCTTGTGTTTCCTCCGCACGCGCAGACACTCACGGTGAGAGCCCCTCCCGAGGTGAGCACACTCCTTGGGGGCAAACCTCCCAGCCTCAAAAACGGTTAATAACGTCAATAGAGCCAATGGGGCAAAGCCAACAACCTTATCAACAATCTGCACTTCTTTATCACAAGGCCACAAAGGTGGATTATTTATTGGCATTTCATCGATTGTCTTATGGTCAAACAAACATGTTTGAAATAGGGAACTATAACATCTTGACATTTGGTCGGGATCACGTTGAGATAATAGGAAAATGGGACGTGACAGTCAGCCGCGGGCCATTCTTTACTCTGTGAATACAGAAAGGGAGCAAGCATTTATCAAGAGCGGCTTCTCTTGACTTATTTTTCAAAAAGACCCCCCCCCCCCCCCCCCCCCCCCGAAAAAACGGGAAAAAAATGAGACAACTATCAGCCATTATTGAGATATATCGCTTTTATGCAATCTTTGGGTTTTCGAAAATCCCAATAAGGGTATGATTCCTTGTTATGTTCTTGGCTGAAAGATCATTATATGATTAATCATAATACTGACCATATCAAACCATTAGCTGGCCAGCTGCTGCATACAGACAAGAATATCTTATGTATCACTAGATATTATTGTTATGGAATCGGATTCTGGGGCATCTATGTCTAATTTAACTAGATTTAGATTTTTCCACATTTCCCTGTTCTAGGCTTTATGAGTTTTAGGAGTGATATACTATTATGCAATTGTCTATTCGTCCTTGACATTTTTAGGTGCTTTAATTATCTTTGTTGAGATTAACGGACCCACAGCGATATTTATAAATATATAAATATATATCTACATATACGCTGATACATATACATGCCCATATAATATATATCGCGACCTCAGCGATTTCTTGTCGCATGAGTGATAAGATAAACTACATGTACCCCTGAATCAAATGAAATACATTTTCTTGACATAATTTTAGAAAAATGTTTTTGTTTCATTAAATTGTTCGATTTTTTAAAATGTGGAATCTTTTTTGTGGGTGGGGAATTCTTTGCTTATTAAAGGCAAAGGTTTTATGTCAGAGTCAACTTCATAAGGTAACCTAAGAGGCGGACTGGTCCGATTTCTCACTGTACCTGGCATGGCCAAGGCGGGCTATGTGGCTGCAGCAGAAAGACGACGGCATGAAGTATCCTCTTCGTATGGGAATCGAACCCATGTTCTTTAAGTGAGATGCCAAGAACCTTCCCAGAACAGTACTGACAGTGGTCTAAAACGACTGCAGTTATCGAACAAACTGTAACACTTTCGGCATTGAGCCAGTTATTTTTTTTAAGTGCTCGCACTTTACTTTATTTTTGGAAATAAAATCTGAAACTGTTTGCTTTTTGTATGACCGTTAAAACGGTTTCCTACTTCCTATAGTACACTTGTATTTGCTCTATATGGTTTTCCCACCAATGACAAGTGCTGGTATCTGTCACTTGTCAAGTTGTCACGTCCGACTGTGAGGTAAGTCCAACACAGACAACAACAAACAAACAAGAAAAAACCATGAAAAATAGAAAGTTTAAGTGATCAATAATTAATTCAAACATGGAAACTTTGTGAGATTCGTGTTTTGAATTTATTTGTACTGAGGCCTTCTTTCCTCGCGTTTCTCTTGAGTCTGGGTTCCCCTTATCAACATCAAGCAAGGGCAGCTGACACGGCCTGTCAATAAGGATTTTTATCGACACTTGCGTCTGCCTGTAGGGATAGAGACTTCCTGGCAACCGGATGATGACAAATTACAGTGAGCTCATATCTGGAAACTTGCAGAGGAAGAACCATAGCACTTTATAATTAGCTTTTTTTCTCCCCTAACATGTTAGTGAGATTTCTGAGGCAGTTCGTTCTATTTGAAGGGTAGTGGGTCCTGCAACGACATCCGAATGCCAGCCAAATATCAGAAAAAAAGCGGAAAAATTAAGTCAAATAGAAATAACCATTTAAAAAATACACACACACAAGCAAACGTGGGCAATAATTGTCATCACGTTTAGATGGAAAATGTGGTTGTGTTTAGTCACCAACATCGGCGGATAAATATTTAACACGGAAACTCCTTAAATTTTTCCCGAATATGGAACCGAGCAACTCCTTGTTTCCGAGTTTTTCTACTTTTAAGGCTAAAACTGGCAGAAAATCATAAACACAACGTTCAAAAGGGCCAAAACAAAGGAAGACACATTGAGTATGGCAATACCATGGGTATGAAATTGTTGGGTGTATACGTGTTTTTATCAAGCTCGAAGCACGCAAAAATGTTCTTTTTTTATATCATTAAACTAAGTTTTCCTCACATTTTCCTTTCCACATATATAAACTCTGCCTTTCGCTCACGGTGGTAAATCAACCACATTGCTAGCAAAGAAAAACCTTATAGATCGTTTTAGGATTCCCTATGTTTGTATTTGAACAAACAAGAGTACTAACGAAGAGTTTGCTTTACAGAAAAGTTTATAGCTCTATGGGGATCTTTTTCTGCTTTGTTTTTGTCTTTTTGTTTTTCTCAGGAACGTTTCAAAGGTGTATCTGGCCTTTGAAAAGTAACGAGTTACCACTACATAGGTGTCCGCTGAGGTATAGGCCAACCTACTACATGTACCTACACAAACACACGTAATCCTGGGCATGTTCTACACATATGCATATATAGGCTGTGTACTTCATATGCTTATGCAACTTCCCATAGAATGTCTCAGTGAACTATGGGTTTACAGTTGTATCTACTTAATGTCCATATTATGCTACCATAGCTCCAGTTAACATGTAGCACTTTGAAAGTTCGTGAATGTCTCTAGCACCACCACCCCCCCTCTCTCTCTCTCTCTCTCTCTCACAATATCCCTCACAGTACCCCTCCCAGAACC